CCCCGGCTCACTTTATGGGATCATCACCACTTCATCCCCAAACCAGCAGGGCTGGTAAAGAGAAGCACAGTGACAGGCTGTCGTCCGTCAGGAAAACACACACATACACACCAAATCCAGTAGTGTACTTTTAACTGTCAGTTTCTTACAAAGCTGTAACTTTAATGCAGTTTTAATTAAATGTCATCATTTTTTCACAGACCTTGAAAGTCAGATCCCAGCACTCAGATGACAGGTGTAAGACTGCTGGTGACGGGCGGTCAGGGTCGCCTGTGTTTAGAGGAAATGCAAACGATACAGAAGTTTATTTCTGTCTCAGAGAGAGTCGGGTCCAACAGTAGGTGGGTCGTCCAGATTCAGTCTTCCTGCCGCATCCAGGAGGCGCCTTCTGTCCTCAAGGTCCTGCAGTGCCCACCAAATCCCCTGCAGCTGGTCTGAGCTTCCGAAGCAGGAGGGAGGGCAGGCAGGAGGGCCAGCCCAGCATGCCTCCCGGGCCACACCTCCAGGTCCACCGGCCTGGTCACATTAGACAGCTGCGTTTCATCATCCAGAACCTGGTCGAGGGCCACGTCTTGCTGCGCAGGAAGCTGGGGCTCGCAGGATGGAGGGAAGGGGCGTGGGCCTGCCGCCGCAATCTCTGCTGCATGTGGGATCTGTGGTCTGCAAACAGACCTGGACCTATGGAGTGTGTTTATGCACAAAGAAAAGCAGGCCCTTGACTCGGCACCCAGAAGCGCATTCCAGCTAGATGAAGGAGCTGAACGTGAAGAGTGGCTGCTGATAAGTTTTGTGGCCTCTGCTGAAGCAGGTTTCATAATCAAGGCATAGAAAGCCCAAATTAGAAAGAAAAACATGAATAAATTTGACTAAATTAGAAATTTAAATAAAACCCCTTTAGGTATAGTGGAAAGAAAAAACCACAAAGGGAAAATGGGATTCTGACTTCTGGTGAGAACTCAGCTGATAAAGTTCCTACAACTCAGTAATACAGAGGCACTGGCTGGGGGTCTCTGCTGGGGAGAAGTGAACGTTCTGGGTCTTGTTGAGATGGGGGTTACACACGGGAGCGTCAGGCTCCCCCCACACACTTCTCCAGGACTCCGCGATGCCTCCTGGAGCTCTCGCAGACCCCGCAGAGTACTGGCTCGGCCTCACGGGGCTGCTTCCTCCAGACGCCAGTTGTAGGACCTGGGCGCCAGGGTACCCACATTCTGTCTGACTTGGCCACGCGTCAGGGGTTTCCAGGACCCCCTCCTTGGGTTCAGTAATTTGCTAACAGAGCTCGCAGAACGCAGGGAAGACAATTTACTTAGTACTTACCAGTTTATTAGAAAGAATACAGCTGGGGAACAGCCAGGTGAAAGAGACACACAGGAGAAAGCTTTGGGGCTGAGGCGCATCCCTGCTGTCCCGCCCACCTCCCCTCAGCACCTGGCTGTGAGCCCCTCCGCTGGGGGCCCTTGTGCGGATTTCCATTCCTGGGCGTAAGTCCCTGGTCCCTGGCGACCAGCTCCACCCCCTGCCCTCCCTGGGAGTGGGGGTGGGGGGCTGGGCTGAATGGTCTGGCCCCCCAGTCCCCCAGACCAGCCCCCGTCCTCCTGGAGTCCCTCAGTAGCATAGGCTTAGTTATGCTTGGGGGGCTTGTTACTGTCACACCAGCATGTGGCGGGGGGCCAGGAAGGTCGTCCAGAAACGCTGTGGTGGCCAGGGTGCTGCCAGCTGGCTGCCGTGCTGACCCTGCCCTGAGCGAGTGAGAGTGTCCTGGGCGGCCCCTCTCGAAGGCGAGGCCGCCCGTGTCCCTCACAGAGGGGCACAACCGTGTTCCACAGACGTCCCCGTCGGACGGGAGAGCACAGGATAGGGGCGATGGGCAGGCTGGGCATGGGGAGGGAGGAGCAGTCCTGCAGCTGGGGGCCAGCAGGTGCCATCTGTCTGACTGGCAGGGGCCAGTGAGGAGAGTGAGCCACGGGGCGCCGCACAGCGCGTCCTGTGGAGAAGGAGCAGGGGTCTGGAGGGAGGGAGGGAGGAAGCAGGGACCTCCTACCTGAGTCCGGTGTGGGGTGGGGGGGTGAGGGTGAGGCCTGCGCCCTCCACTCTTCCTCCACTTTTCCTGTGTGGCAGACGCAGAGGCAGGCCAGAGGGGGAGCAGGGCAGTGGAGGGGAGGGGCCCCCATGTGCTTCCCTGGAGGCTGTGGGTGGGCATGGGGAAGCTGCACCAGGGGACCCAGCTGGGCAACCCTGCTCTGAGCCCTGGCCTCCCAGAAATCACCTGGGGTGGGGAGAGAGAGGCCGTTGCCCCTGGGTCCCTGCGTGGTTCTCACTAGTACCACCCAGCACCCTGCCGCGGACCCCTGTGCCCTCATGAGGGGGGTTGAGCCGGGCACCAGGGTGGAGGTGGGTGTGCACGCCTGGCCCACGTCTTTGCAGAGGTTTGCCTGGGGACGTTGGGTGCCGGGAGCCCGGCTGCATCCACCCTCCCAGCCCTCCCTGTGCTCTGAAAGGTGCACTGGCAGGAGCCCGTCTGCAGAAGTGGCTGGCGACCCACGCGTTCCCACCCAGGGCCTCCACAGAGCAGTCGTGGCTGCTAGAATTCTTTCACGAAGCATGTGTTCAGGATTAATGACGGCACAAATATAGGGCTCTGCAAGATCACTGTTTTCGAGTTTGCCCTGGGAGGCTGAATTCCCCTTAGAGATGAACCCCTATCCAGGCTGGAATTTACATAAGAAGGGGTGCCCTGTGGTTTTTGTAAGCATGCAGCCAGTTCATGCTTTTTCTTGTAAGATAGGAAAATCTGTGATTGAACTTTTCAGAGGGTGGGAGGAACATGCAGGACTGGGGACTCATCCTTTCAGCAAGTATTTATTGATCTGAGGCTGTGTCAGTGAGGAAAACAGAAGCCCCTCCCCCATGGAGCTTGCGTGCTGGGAGGTGGGAGTGGAGACGGAAGTCAGCACAGGAGGGCACACAGGTGGTGGGTGGGAGGCCCCACGGAGAGGGACTTCCTGCAGAGACGGAGAGGTGGGGGCACTGTGGCCAGGAGGCTGCTGGGGACGGTTTCCAGGCTAGAGGGCCTGGGAGGAGTGGCCAGAAGCCCCCTTGCCCCTGGTGGCCCAAGCATGGGAGGGGGGTGGTGAGGGAGGGACAGCAAGGCCAGATGGGCCTTGGAGGGGCCTTTGGAATGATGGTGATTTCTAGGGAGAAGATTGGGAGTGTTGGAAGATTTTGTGCACAGGAGTGTCCTGGCCTGGCCTGTGTTCACAGGGTCCCATGGCGGCTCTTCTGGGATGAGCCACTGGGGGTGGGGGCCGTGGTCACCGTGGGACACAGCAACAAAGCAGGTGGGGACCTGTGACTTGAGACCTGTGGTCCAGCAGGGGCAATGGCCGAATGGTACCTCCTCGGTCCGCTCTGACAGGAGGTCCCCAGCTCTGCGAGCCACCCGCCCATGACTCTGCGGGTTTGGCTCCAGCATAGAGCATGGAGCTGGATAGGTCAGGAGTTTGGGCAGTGGACCCTGTGCACCATTGGTTGCCAGCATTGACCCCACTGGGCACTGCCCTCTGTTTCCACGAGGGCCGAGGGACCTGCTGGACTTGGGCCCGACGTACAAACGTGTGCAGCCAAAGATGGCATGGGTGGCCTCGCGGTGAGGGCAGTGCAGAGGGGGCAGGGCGGGGCTCTGCACCCCACCCCAGCCCCACCCCCACAGTCTGTCCAGACCCTGCGGCCCCTGGACCCAAGCCCCTGGACCCAAGGGTCTTTCTCACATGGGCCTCCCGTCCTGTCCCTGCTCACTTCTGACCTGTGTTGCAGCCAAGGCCGCCCCCCAACAGCCTCCGCCTGTATGTAGCTCCTTGCTCACAGGCAGAGGAACGTGCAGGTGAGTTGTCGCCTAAAAATATTTCCATTAAATCAGATGGTGCTATTGCCTTGCTCAAAGTCCTTCAGGGGCTCCCCACTGGCCTCAGGCTGCCTTCCCCTGGCCTTCCTCCCGGCTGCCACTGCGCCCCCCTCCTGGGTCTGTCTGGGCCCCTCCCTCCACCTCACAGGCCCCTCCTGGGGCTGAGCGTCAGGGTCACCCTCGGGAGCCTTCCTGAAGTTGGCACCCACTTTTCCTTTTCTTGGAATCCTGCTTTCCCTCCAGTTGATTTCACCTCTGTTTGTGTTCTCGATCATGTGTTTGCCTTGTTACTGCTTGCTCTTTGTCCAGACAGCCCCCTGGCCCCAGGAGCACATGGGCCATGCCTTCCCTAGCCCTGTGGCCTTGGCACCATGGGCTCCTGCCATCTGTGAACTCAGGAAGGGGGCAGGGGCGCGTGGTGAGAGGGTAGGTGCGCTGGAGCAGAAAGCCTGGGTTGCCGGTGACGGAGACAGTGCTGTGACTAGTGACCCAGGGCAGCTGCGAGCTCGCCCTCCCCTCCTGGCCGAGCCTCCCTCCACGTATCAAACCAAGCTCGGCTCAGATTGTCGGCAAGGAGCAAGTTTGAGGTTTTCAAGGTCTCCTTTGCAGTTTTTTTTTTTTAAAGATTTTATTTGACAGAGACACAGTGAGAGGGGGAGGGTCAGAGGGAGACGCAGACCCCCTGCCGAGCAGGGAACCGATGCGGGGCTCAATCCCAGGACCCCGGGATCATGACTTGAGCCGAAGGCAGACGCTTAACGACTGAGCCCCCCAGGCACCTCTGCAGTTATTTTTACTGGAAGTAATAAAAATGTACTTGCTCTTTTGATTTCTCTCCCAAGAAACGTGGCTCATGGACGCTTTCCGGCACTAAGCCTCAGTAATGTGTCACAGGAGATAGTTCCCCAGTTTCGAAGAATCGTTCATAGCGTTCCCTCTGTGTCAGTTCTGTTTAAGTGCTGCCTTTTGCTAGTTGTTGACATTTGTTCACCATCAAGTACGTCTGTGGGCCAGGCAGCTGTGCGATGCGCTGGGTGGGCGCCCTCTGGCACGACACCCCGTCTTCCACTCAAGAGTGTGTTCCCTCTGCCTGCAGGTGGAACGTGGTGGGCGTGCAGGGGTCCCTGCTCAGCATCTTCGTGGAGCCGATCTACTTCTCGAGCATCATCCTGGGCAGCCTCTACCACGGCGACCACCTCTCCAGGGCCATGTACCAGCGGATCTCCAACATAGAAGACCTGCCCCCGCTGTACACGCTCAACAAGCCTCTGCTCAGCGGCAAGTACCCCTGCAGCGTGACTGTGTCTGTGTTCACGTGACCTCATGACCTCGCTGGGCCTCATCGGGGCCTCGCACTCGGTGCTCAGATAACCCTGCTGGGCCATATCCGGGTCGCCCACTCGGTGCTCAGATAACCCTACTGGGCCATATCCGGGTCTCCCACTTGGTGCTCAGATAACCCCGCTGGGCCACGTCGGGGCCTCGCATTCGGTGCTCAGATAACCCTGCTGGGCTGCGTTGGGGCCTCGCATTCGGTGCTCAGATAACCCTGCTGGGCCATATCCGGGTCTCCTACTCGGTGCTCAGATAACCCTGCTGGGCCATATCCGGGTCTCCCACTCGGTGCTCAGATAACCCTGCTGGGCCACGTCGGGGCCTCGCATTCGGTGCTCAGATAACCCTGCTGGGCCATATCCGGGTCTCCCACTCGGTGCTCAGATAACCCTGCTGGGCCACGTCGGGGCCTCGCATTCGGTGCTCAGATAACCCTGCTGGGCCATATCTGGGTCTCCCACTCGGTGCTCAGATAACCCTGCTGGGCCATATCCGGGTCTCCCACTCAGTGCTCAGATAACCCTGCTGGGCCGCGTTGGGGCCTCGCACTCAGTGCTCAGATAACCCTGCTGGGCCATATCCGGGTCTCCCACTCGGTGCTCAGATAACCCTGCTGGGCCATATCCGGGTCCCCCACTCGGTGCTCAGATAACCCTACTGGGCCACGTCGGGGCCTCGCATTTGGTGCTCAGATAACCCTGCTGGGCCACGTCGGGGCCTCACACTCGGTGCTCAGATAACCCTGCTGGGCCATATCCGGGTCTCCCACTCAGTGCTCAGATAACCCTGCTGGGCTGCGTCGGGACCTCGCATTTGGTGCTCAGATAACCCTGCTGGGCCGTGTTGGGGCCTCGCACTCGGTGCTCAGATAACCCTGCTGGGTCGTATCAGAGTCTCACACGTGGGAACGCCGTAGGGAAGCCACTGTCTGTCAGAGCAGAGGGCGAGAGGCCATGTTGTAGGGCCTCTGGGCCGCTCAGGTGGGTCCTCATACAGTTCATCTCTTTACTGATCAAAAACCTTGCCTTTTATAGATGAGTTACTGCCCAGACTTGGCACCCGCCTGTTTTTCTTTCCCTTGTATGTTTATCTTCAAGTCCTGTGTCAGTGGGAGAGACTCGCAGATGCCACGGAAAGTCTGCGGGCGTCAGCTGTGCAGGATGGAGCGGGGCTGGTCATCTGTGCTGGGCTGCCGCCTCAGAGGGAGGTTGGGGATGGAGTTGTGCGCACCCAGGATGGGTCGGCGATGGGGTGGTGCCTCGCACCGGCCCTGAGTGCCTGTGGTCACTGGTTCGTTTGCTGTGTCCCCTTTAGCATCTCAGAGGGAGCAAGGACTCTTGAATGCAAGGTCCTAACTTCTCAGTTCACCCCTCTTTAAAGAACACAGTGAAGGTATTTTTATCCTTTTGAAAATATCGTTTTACTCGCTTTTTTAAAGCTCAGAACTAAAACCATAATCCAGACTAAAGCGTGTGTTTTTGGCGTGTGTGTGCGCACTGCCTTGTCTGGGTGCTTGGCTACTAGCCCGCCTTTACCTGGAGAAGAGCAGCGTGGCATTTTAGGTGAAGGCATGTCTGTTAGAGCACAGAAAGTGTGCAAAACGGAGAAAACCAGTGGTTGTTCCTGATCACATTTTACAGCTCCCTAAATGTAAGCGTTATTTTTTACGAAAAAATACCTTCTCTGCTAAAACTTGATAGTGAGTGATTGCCGCTGAGCGTCCACAGGCATGGCGCCTCCACTGGGAGAGAGGAGATAGCGTAAGTATCCTGTCGTGTTAGAACACGAGCTTCCCATGATGCAGAAAACAGCGCTCCCTGCGTGGCCCCCGTGGTCTGTTTCATTCCGGCTGCAAGCCGTCTCGTGCCTGGTGCAGGAGAGGCCCTCCAATGTCGCTGGACCAGCGCCGTGCTGGCTCGTGTTGCGTCCAGGGCTAACGTGTGCAAAGACAGGTCATGTCGCTGGGGGAATGTTGTACGATACTGAAAGGGAAGCTCACTTATACAAGTCAGGTGCGTTTTTTTTTTAAATTGTTATGTTAATCCCCATACATTACATCATTAGTTTTAGATGTAGTGTTCCATGATTCATTGTTTGTGCATAACACCCAGTGCTCCATGCAGAACGTGCCCTCCTCAATACTCACCACCAGGCTAACCCATCCTCCCACCCCCCTCCCCTCTAGAACCCTCAGTTTGTTTTTCAGAGTCCATCGTCTCTCATGGTTCGTCTACCCCTCCAATTCCCCCCACCTTCATTCTTCCCCTCCTGCTATCTTCTTCTTTTTTTTTTTTTTCTCTTAACATATATTGCATTATTTGTTTCAGAGGTACAGATCTGAGATTCAACAGTCTTGCACAATTCACAGCGCTTACCAGAGCACATACCCTCCCCAGTGTCTATCACCCAGTCACCCTATCCCTCCCATCCCACCCCCCACTCCAGCAACCCTCAGTTTGTTTCCTGTGATTAAGAATTCCTCATATCAGTGAGGTCATATGATACATGTCTTTCTCTGTTTGACTTATTTCGCTCAGCATAATACCCTCCAGTTCCATCCACGTCATTGCAAATGGCAAGATCTCATTCCTTTTGATGGCTGCATAATATTCCATTGTATATATAGACCACATCTTCTTATCCATTCATCTGTTGATGGACATCTTGACTCTTTCCACAGTTTGGCTATTGTGGACATTGCTGCTATAAACATTGGGGTGCACGTGCCCCTTCGGATCCCTACATTTGTATCTTTGGGGTAAATACCCAGTAGTGAAATTGCTGGATCATATGGTAGCTCTATTTTCAACTTTTTGAGGAACCTCCATACTGTTTTCCAAAGTGGCTGCACCAGCTTGCATTCCCACCAACAGTGTAAGAGGGTTCCCCTTTCTCCGCGTCCCCGCCAACATCTGTCATTTCCTGACTTGTTAATTTTAGCCATTCTGACTGGTGTGAGGTGGTATCTCATTGAGGTTTTGATTTGGATTTCCCTGATGCTGAGCGATATTGAGCACTTTTTCATGTGTCTGTTGGCCATTTGGATGTCTTCTTTGGAAAAATGTCTGTTCATGTCTTCTGCCCATTTCTTGATTGGATTCTTTGTTCTTTGGGTGTTGAGTTTGATGAGTTCTTTATAGATTTTGGATACTAGCCCTTTATCTGATATGTCATTTGCAAATATCTTCTCCCATTCTGTCGGTTGTCTTTTGGTTTTGTTGACTGTTTCCTTTGCTTTGCAAAAGCTTTTTATCTTGATGTAGTCCCAAGAGTTCATTTTTGCCCTTGCTTCCCTTGCCTTTGGCGATGTTTCTAGGAAGAAGTTGCTGCAGCTGAGGTTGAAGAGGTTGCTGCCTGTATTCTCCTTTAGGATTTTGATGGACTCCTGTCTCACATTGAGGTCTTTCAACCATTTGGAGTCTATTTTTGTGTGTGGTGTAAGGAAATGGTCCCGTTTCATTCTTTTGCATGTGGCTATCCAATTTTCCCAACACCATTTGTTGAAGAGACTGTCTTTTTTCCATTGGACATTCTTTCCTGCTTTGTCAAAGATGAGTTGACCATAGAGTTGAGGGTCCATTTCTGGGCTCTCTATTCTGTTCCATTGATCTATCTGTCTGTTTTTGTGCCAGTACCATACTGTCTTGATGATGACAGCTTTGTAATAGAGCTGGAAGTCCGGAATTGTGATGCCGCCAGCTTTGCTTTTCTTTTTCAACATTCCTCTGGCTATGCGGGGTCTTTTCTGGTTCCATACAAATTTTACGATTATTTGTTCCATTTCTTTGAAAAAAGTGGATGGTATTTTGATGGGGATTGCATTGAATGTGTAGATTGCTCTAGGTAGCATTGACATCTTCACAATATTTGTTCTTCCAATCCATGAGCATGGAACGTTTTTCCATTTCTTTGTGTCTTCCTCAATTTCTTTCATGAGTATTTTATAGTTTTCTGAGTACAGATCCTTTGCCTCTTTGGTTAGATTTATTCCTAGGTATCTTATGGTTTTGGATGCAATTGTAAATGGGATCAACTCCTTAATTTCTCTTTCTTCTGTCTTGTTGTTGGTGTATAGGAATGCCACTGACTTCTGTGCATTGATTTTATATAGTCAGGTGCGTTTTTGCCGTAGGGTGTGTAGATGAGTGCGCATACACCTATGAAAAGATAGCGAAAACAGCGTTTGCGAGGTAGAGACCCTGAAGTCGTCCTCTGTGTATTTGTTACGAAGACCGAGTCCGTAGCAAAGTAAAAGAGTCTACTCTTCATGCCCCTCTCCCCAGCATCACTTCCACTGTCATGCGATTTTGGTGGATGCGTGCTCGTGGGTGCCGAGGGCCTGCCGAGGAGCCGGGTGGTCTCGTGGCTGTGCTGTGGCTTTGACAGCCCGGTTTCCCGGTCTTCCCCGTGACGGGGCTGGGCCGGTGCCCTGCATGATCCTTCTGGACAAGTGTGCGGGAATTCTGTGAAATACAGGGGCAGCACCGGGGTTTCGGGACGCAGAGTAGTTCTCGAATGCTGAGCCACTGGATAGCATCACTCTGCCAGCAAAGTCTGTCTCAAAATGCAAACTACTCGAGATATTTTACTTCGGATGATGCTTTATTTTAGAAGCCGCGGTGGTGTTTTTCCTTGAAGAGAGCTCAAGTCCTTGCAGCAAGCAGCCTTGGAGAAGATGTCTTCGGTCTGTGGCGGTCAGCTGGGGTGGTGCAGCGCATGCTGGGAGAGCCACAGGCACCAGCAGGCAGGAGGCATGGATGCTGCTGGGCCACATTGCAGTCTAAGGCAGAGGATATGGCGGGTATTGTCACGGACAGAGGGACGCAAGCAGGGGGAGTCTAGAGCAGAGGGTGCTGACGTCTTATGTTTGGGAGGTCACACTCCTGTAAAACGGGCCCCACAGCAAAGCCCTTCAAACTTTCTTGGGAGGGAAGTCTTCCATT